TTCGAATTAAATTTATCAGTTTTACATGTATTCTATTTGATAGGTGAATATATAGACAAAAAAATAACCTCAGATGTATAGATTTCTAAAGTTTATTCAAATTTGTCTCATTGAAGAGTGTTGTCAGTATTAACAATATTTATATTACAGTATATATATGTATAAAGGACGAGTGTACTGCGCAGTAGTTCGCTCCATCCAACTTTATGGCTGTGAAACATGACCAGTCAGAGTAGAAGATATTCGTAGGTTACTGGTTTTCAATCATAGGTGCCTCCGAAGCATTGCTCACGTATCCTAAAACAACCGACTAGACAATGCTGTTATTAGGACACGGGTGCTAGGTAAGGATTGCAGATCAATAAATGAAGTATGAGAACTTCTCATCAGTTAAGGTGGTTGGGATGTGTGTTGCCTATCCCTAACCACTGATTGCCTCTTCGAGCTATATATTGCGGTGTAGGAATAGGTTGGACGAAAGCTATCGGCAGCCAACCCAAAACATAGCAGAAATCCATGAAGTCACTGACAAGTGGACTGAGTCATGTTGGTAAGTGTAGACTACCTGGTCGGGGTCCGCGAGATGATAATAATCGATGGTTAGAAACCTTTAATGATGTGGCTCAAAGTCGTTTGCAATGTCACAGGTACATTCATTCTTTGTGTTTTCTCAAATCCTCATCACTTTTATCTTTTTCTTTTTAAGTTTATTTCACTAGATTCTACTTCTTGAATAATATATTCGAACCATAATGTCCGCGATTACTGTTAATACCTTTACTACCTCTACTAATACTATGGGATTTGAATCGACAATTGTGTCTCTGTGCTAATGTGGTATGGCAACCTGAACTGACGTACGTATGTATATAAATCTATTGTGATTTCTATTAAGTTTAAGTGAACCAACCCAACTGATATATTAACTGATCTAAACGAATGTGAATAATACGAGTAGGACGAAACGGCAGTCCAGTGCTTCTAGGTTTCTAATGGTGGTCTAACATTGATCGATTCATGGTTTCAAAAATGTGTAACCTAACAATCTTCACAACCCTGTAATGCAAATTACCTGTGCTCACTGGTGACTAGCTTCGTGAGGAATCTTCTCCGGGTTCTAGTGGGAAGACGTGACCAGTGAAGTTCAACCTGCTTGGATGTAGGCAATGTCTACCGAAGACTGTGTGTGAAGTTGCGCAACTCCGTGAATTGATCAAGTTAGACATTAACACCGTTAGATACCGCCTCAGTGGTCCGATGGTTCGGCGTCCGCCTACAATGCCGAAGGTCCTGGGTTCGAATCCTGCGGGGTTCAAGAGTCGTGGATGCGCACTGCTGATGAGTCCCATACCAGGACGAAACGGCAGTCCAGTGCTTCTAGGTTTCTAATGGTGGTCTAACATTGATCGGTTCATGGTTTCAAAAATGAGTAGGAAATATGGCGGATTATTCTCACTAAAGTCCATACAGAGTCACAACAGAATACTAATCGATAGGAATAGATAGTTGTTATTTAGAGAGAATGAGAATACTGCTCAATACACTTTATTAAATGATATAACATGTGATATATTTTTTTCACATTGGAAATAATTTCTTCAATACATATTAATGTACACTAAATGAGTTTATTGAAAACAGGCATATTATTTATGATACAGATGAATAGTTGTTATCAGTTAAAAAGTACACAGTGTGATATTGATTACGACAACACTTGAAGTAATTTGACAAATTAAGCAACATTGATGATGCTTTTTTTTGTTATGTTAAGCTTTTACACTTTACAATAGTGAATATTCAATGAAAAAAACCTCATTCATCCTTGTGAGAAGGCAGCATCGCTACAGATGCTGGTTGTCCGAGAGAAACACCTTACTGCTGTCACACCCCTCCATCACAGTCAGCAGTACGACTTCGCCCTCAGACCTTGGGTAGCTGCTTTTAGTCTCATCGTTCTCCAATCGACCTGCCCGCCTGACATGGTAGAACCTTCAGGAACATATGTTGCAGCCACTATAGCTCGGTTGGGTCATCACGATAGGCAAGCTAAACCACCATCAACATCAAGGTAGCAGCTACGGTCTAGTCTATTAACGGTTGATTATAAAAATACTCACTCATGCATGCTTCACATCGTATTGATTTGGCCCGTTGGCCTTCTCTACTTCCCTTCGCTTTGCTTTCTTATGCTTTGTATTCATTCACATGTCACTTTACAGGACTTACATAAAACTATTAATTATCACACAGTGAACACGATTACAAAATTTAAACAATTTAGTCGATTAAAAAAAAATCAAATGGTCTTCTACTTCAATTTCATTCAAATCATGATATTTTAGGATGTCAATTGGTTATTCTCATCCTCCGATTTTATTTTTAGACTCTTAAAAACTCTACTTTTAATTGAATTGAATTGATGACTCATGAATTTCGATTGGAAATTTATGAAATCCAGTTTTGAAACTATTCACTGGTAAGGAAGTATGTATATGTATATGTATGTTGGGGACGTTAGATCCCCAGAACTCATTTGATTAAGGTCCTGATTTTAGATATTTTATGTTATCGCGCATAAGCTGCTTAGTTGACCTTGAGATTACATTTACCAACCGGAAAATCCTCGACTGTCATTGGTTGATGTGAAATTTTAGTACGCTATTTTTGTGGCTCTACCAAGGATGTTTCTATGATGTATAAATAAAGTCGATTTGCATACTTGTCAACCTCGACTTACTGTGCCCTTGTAGAATACACTTTCTATGCCATATTAAGACTTCATCTACTTAGTGGGGCGTTGGGACGCTCGGATTAGAGTAGCGTATGGCGTCACTGGATCATTTGTCTTCGCTCTCGTTTACAGACTATGGTGAACTCGTAATAGTTTCAAGCATATCAACTGTTGACGAGTATAAAAATATATAACATCTATTTGTAGTCTTATTTCTTGACAAGAAGAAGCAATCTTACTCCATCGATTGAGATATACTGCTCTAGTTGCTAAAGTATGTTGCGAAAAAGGTACACTGATCCATAGGGAGCATTTCACCCTCATAATCATTTGACTTGGTTATATCCAATAATGTCTGGCCTGAAAGTTAATATTTGTGAGAAACTATTTGCAGTAAATTTGAGACGAAAGATCTAGGGAACGATAAAGATTGTTGTAAAAACTTTAGTTTGGTAATCTACAACTCAAAATGACAGCCACTGACTTCATACATCGATGCTACATCTTTGCTTGCCCTAGCTAATCAGCTTCGCGTATCAAATTAGGTAGTGGTTGGGTTTTACGTAACACACACCCCAGCTACTTACCTTAGTCAATGAATACAGCCTCAACAAACTATTCACCTTGTACTCTAAGTTTGAATTTACGATTAGTTAATCGTTTATTTCACAATATACAATATACACTTACGAACAAATACTTATAGCCTATATTTCACTTCTTTTCAGCTCATGTATCACATGCATAAAAGAATACAGAATAGAATGTTCAAGAATATAATTGTTCCTGTGGAGGTAGCAGCTATATCGGGCGTACCTACCACGCAACTTAACAAACAAATGAGTGAACATCTCCCAGCATGGTTTACGAAGGGTCAGTCAAAAACAATACGCAGTTCTATCTTAGCACACCTGGTAGATAGTGGTCACATTGTAGATAAATCTACATCTTTTCGGGTGATTTATCGTATACCTCCATCATTTACCAACGGAGTTCGATCCCGTCTCTTACACATTGCAGAAGCCATAGGAATACGTACATTCAACCCCAATGTATGTGTTCAGAAGAAATTTGTGACAACGGGTATGACGTAACTAACGACTGACATTATATTTTTTATTTTTACACATTTGCTTATTACGTAATGGTTTTGATGTTTTCTAATGATTATTTGAAGTCTATTCATCCACGTTTGACCTATGATTATAATTTTCTTACTACTATCAGTACACCTGTCTTCCTACTATCCACTTGTACTTTTGCCTATTATATGTAGTGACGTAATCTTTTTCATTTCATTGTGATTATCACTCAAATTGCCTTGATTGGTTTAACATTTTCATATAAATATTCATGTTTATTAGAGTAAAGCAGGCTGATGACGATCTAATCGAAAACAACAATATTGTTCGTTTATATATGTGTTGTTCTAATTTTCACAATGGGAATCTTTAATATTTTTAACATCAACCCAATCTTACTGGTCAAGTTACAATATAAAGCTTTTAGTTTATATATAAGTTAACATTATATCTACCTACTCCCTGTTGACAAGTAACAACCAATGCGAGATCTAAAGATACAAACCAAATAAGTTAGTGGTACAATTGTAGAAAATATCATTCAAGGAAATATTGTCCTGGATTCGATTGTGAGAAAATTCATGAATATTATAGCGTGATTTCAGAATACAGTGAAAGAAATATTCCCTAATTCTCAACAAACATTTAGATTCACTGGTGTGAAGTTAAAGTTCACATTATCTGAATCAATAATCGACTGATACATTCTAAGAGCCGTTGTGGTAGGACTCAGTTCAAAGTAGGCACGAAAATATTTTTGTAATTTACCACTGACTACTGATGAGTAGTCTAATATTCAGAACAAAAATATCGAAATCGCCAACATTTCGACAAGTGGAAAAGCCATTGTTAGTGAAAAAAAGCCCAAAATAATTTCTTTTCATTGAGAATAACTGTGTATATACTGCATATATATTCAAGTATTTATTTATAAACAAAGATAAACCAAATACTAAGTTATTGAAAGAAGTATACAAAACCTATAGTATGTATATATATATCAATCAAGGGAGACGGCACTTCATGTGAAAATATTTTCAAATAATATAATTTAAAATGAAAAAAAGAGAGTAGGAGAAAAAAGCTGTAAGGCAAAAGTCTTAGAAAGCACAAGATAATACACACTGACACTCATGAAAGTATAAGATGTGTGCTAGTAGCTAGCCAGAGTTTTCTTTTTTTAACTATATGGTGTTAGTGTGTGTCACACGTGTTGACTGATGATAATGATAAAAAGTAGTATGGTTTGAAACAATTTGTTTTTTTCTTTTAAAAAAAAAACAGAAAATTATGAAAAAAAGTAAAAATAAAAATACTACTATAGTGTCATTAAAATAGAAAGAATATAACAAAAATGAATTCATTGTACAGTATTCGATTTTATATGTATATATATACATCTCATGTGCTTGCTTTCAATTAATTAATTTTATTGGGATGTTCGGATTTGAAGTTAATTTTGGTTTCAAATCAATAATAAATAAACTCACCGATAAAGTTAAGATATAAAACAAAAGTAAGAAAAGAGAGATTAACATAATAAGAAGAAGCAGACAGTTTCATTCATTGTAATAATGATTACCGGAGCGTTACACACACACACACACAGAGCATAACCATAAGGCATATTAACTGTTGGGATAGTAGGAGGAAGTAACGAGTAAGTAACTGAAGTCATTATAAAATATAGATAGATCGATAGATAGTTGTCAGTCAGTCTGTCAGTAATTTTTTTTCCATGCAGAAATCATTTTTCATCACAATATAGCAGCAAACTAAGAACCAATAAAAATAGAATAAGGTTGAATAAAAAACACCACTATCAGTAATTCGTTTAGTGTTGATGTCTGTTAGTTGTTGCTGTTGTTTCATTTTGGGACTCCCTGATGAAAAGAACAATGAACCAGTTTTAGAGAAAAGACAGAGCACGAGAGCGCGCGCGCACGCCAGCCAGCGAGAGAGAGAGATCGACAGAGGGGGATATGTAGATGATAATAGGCAAATCGCATCCATTGCTGTCACTAATCATAATAATACTGATGATAAGCATATCAAACAAAACAATAGTTGTCATAGTAATGAGAACAATAGTCAAGTTTGTGTAATAAATAATACTGCTCCCTCCCCCCGCCCGCTAACCACATTACTGATTAACACACACATATAGGTAAGATAAAGTTTACACTGGCAGGTTATTGAAGTGATAAAAAGTTAAAAATAAAAAAGGGAGAAAAAGTAACAAGAAAGTTCAATTCATCATTATAAACCAATACACTGTGTACAACACATATGCATAAGTAGTAGTACCTGTGAGTGTGTGTGTGTGTCTGTGTGTGCATTTTGAGAAAGAGTCAAACAGTACATCATATATAGGGAGGATTCAGAAAAAACAAACAACGCATATGATGAACTGAATGATCATGGTAAAATGTGTCAGTGTGTGTGCGTGTGCGTGTGTCTGTGTCGTGTCATGATGATAAAATCAATAATAATCACCATCGTCATCATCAGCAACCTCATAATGTGTAGGTGTTGGTGCATTGATCTAACCACAATATATATATATATATGTTGTATATATACAAGGTATTATTGATAATTTTGTACATGATTTATTTATACGAAATAATTATTGAAAGCTTGTCTTCTGGGTCGATCTGTAAAAACAAAGTAGAGGAGAGAATGAAAGCAAGAAAATGAGTGTAATTGAATGAACAGGATTAAAATGAGCGTGTAGTTAGATGTGATGAAAAAAACCCACCTCATGAAGGTTTATTAGATGACCAGGGGGAGAATGATAATGTTTATAAAGTATTAAGAATAGCAAATTAAACGATTCACATTTCTAATTTCTTCAGTCAGTTAGTGTTATTTAACTCAAAATACTACGGATCCGTTGGTCATAAACGATGTTTGCAACAACCAATTGTGGCAGAAAACAAACCAGATTCCAGTGTCAAGGAAGAAATCAGAAAGAAGCGGTGTAGGTGGATAGGACACACGCTGAGGAAAGCACCCAACTGTGTTACAGGACAATAACTCGATTGGAACCCTCTCAAGGCTAAAGGAAAAGAGGAAGACCAAGGAACACATTACGACGAGATATGAAAACAGACGTGAGAAGAATCAACAAAAATTGGACAGAATTAGCAAGCAAGGTCGAAGACAGAGTAGGTTGCAGAAATGCTCGTTGACTACTTCTGTCATAATGTGGATAACAGATAAAAGTAAGTAAGTAAGTAAGTAAGTAAGTAAGTAAGTAAGTAAGTAAGTAAGTAAGTAAGTAAGTAAGTAAGTAAGTAAGTAAGTAAGTAAGTAAGTAAGTAAGTAAGTAAGTAAGTAAGTAAGTAAGTAAGTAAGTAAGTAAGTAAGTAAGTAAGTAAGTAAGTAAGTAAGTAAGTAAGTAAGTAAGTAAGTAAGTAAGTAAGTAAGTAAGTAAGTAAGTAAGTAAGTAAGTAAGTAAGTAAGTAAGTAAGTAAGTAAGTAAGTAAGTAAGTAAGTAAGTAAGTAAGTAAGTAAGTAAGTAAGTAAGTAAGTAAGTAAGTAAGTAAGTAAGTAAGTAAGTAAGTAAGTAAGTAAGTAAGTAAGTAAGTAAGTAAGTAAGTAAGTAAGTAAGTAAGTAAGTAAGTAAGTAAGTAAGTAAGTAAGTAAGTAAGTAAGTAAGTAAGTAAGTAAGTAAGTAAGTAAGTAAGTAAGTAAGTAAGTAAGTAAGTAAGTAAGTAAGTAAGTAAGTAAGTAAGTAAGTAAGTAAGTAAGTAAGTAAGTAAGTAAGTAAGTAAGTAAGTAAGTAAGTAAGTAAGTAAGTAAGTAAGTAAGTAAGTAAGTAAGTAAGTAAGTAAGTAAGTAAGTAAGTAAGTAAGTAAGTAAGTAAGTAAGTAAGTAAGTAAGTAAGTAAGTAAGTAAGTAAGTAAGTAAGTAAGTAAGTAAGTAAGTAAGTAAGTAAGTAAGTAAGTAAGTAAGTAAGTAAGTAAGTAAGTAAGTAAGTAAGTAAGTAAGTAAGTAAGTAAGTAAGTAAGTAAGTAAGTAAGTAAGTAAGTAAGTAAGTAAGTAAGTAAGTAAGTAAGTAAGTAAGTAAGTAAGTAAGTAAGTAAGTAAGTAAGTAAGTAAGTAAGTAAGTAAGTAAGTAAGTAAGTAAGTAAGTAAGTAAGTAAGTAAGTAAGTAAGTAAGTAAGTAAGTAAGTAAGTAAGTAAGTAAGTAAGTAAGTAAGTAAGTAAGTAAGTAAGTAAGTAAGTAAGTAAGTAAGTAAGTAAGTAAGTAAGTAAGTAAGTAAGTAAGTAAGTAAGTAAGTAAGTAAGTAAGTAAGTAAGTAAGTAAGTAAGTAAGTAAGTAAGTAAGTAAGTAAGTAAGTAAGTAAGTAAGTAAGTAAGTAAGTAAGTAAGTAAGTAAGTAAGTAAGTAAGTAAGTAAGTAAGTAAGTAAGTAAGTAAGTAAGTAAGTAAGTAAGTAAGTAAGTAAGTAAGTAAGTAAGTAAGTAAGTAAGTAAGTAAGTAAGTAAGTAAGTAAGTAAGTAAGTAAGTAAGTAAGTAAGTAAGTAAGTAAGTAAGTAAGTAAGTAAGTAAGTAAGTAAGTAAGTAAGTAAGTAAGTAAGTAAGTAAGTAAGTAAGTAAGTAAGTAAGTAAGTAAGTAAGTAAGTAAGTAAGTAAGTAAGTAAGTAAGTAAGTAAGTAAGTAAGTAAGTAAGTAAGTAAGTAAGTAAGTAAGTAAGTAAGTAAGTAAGTAAGTAAGTAAGTAAGTAAGTAAGTAAGTAAGTAAGTAAGTAAGTAAGTAAGTAAGTAAGTAAGTATGTGGGGAAGTAAGTCAACTGTACAACAATTCACAGTTGGAATCTTTAAAAAATGTACTCATTTTTCACTCAGTCTAATTTATATACTTCAAAGTTCATGCTACCTCTTTGTTATACTCTAATATGATGATCAACTACCTACATGAATATTCTTTATGTTCTGTATGTATAATGGCAAAAGTGTGATACCTTAAGTTATGAGTTCAGGAGATTAGAATTGGAGAGAAGACAGAGAATGGATGCATTTGAGTCACATCATTTCAAAGTCTCTAATCACTTGGTTATGATTATCACACAAACTCTAACCAAGTAGTTTGTACATATGAACATGGTTTAGTCCAATCAATGGTCAATGACTTCATAGATTGGTATCATGTTTGATTGAACTGTTCCTAACATAGCACTAATCAGTCCCCGTTAGCAATCAGGACAAAACAGAAGAAATCGTACAATAAAAACCTTGTGGAACTTTACTTGTCACACTGAATCAGTTTGAAGAAAACAACGGAGATGAGACAGTAGCTTATGTGATAATCTCTCAACAAGGTCAGCCGTTTTAATAAGAAGCCATGGATATCTGTAGGTTTTAATTAGTTGCATACCATACTTCATGTTCTCTCTTTTTAATACTTGAATCAGGGAATCTCTAGTGTTACACCTGTGTCATGATCTACCTCAATATGACTACTACTACTACTACTGTGGTGCGAGCTACTTATAAGTAGTATATAACGTGAGTGTCAACTTAATGTCTGGCAGCAGAAGATAGGGGGGAAGATCAAGAAAGGAAGAGTTAGAAAAAAAGGAATTTGTATGAAACGCATGAATAGTGACAATGGATTGATGTTTTGCAACAGGAACAGTCCAGTTCGATATGATGAACTGATCTTTTGCAAATGAACGATTTACGATATGGTTTTCCGATTTTACTGAGTAATAACTCTGTAATTTTCGTTAAATACAATTCGGTTGCCCAACCTGTGTTCTCCTTCACTACACTACTACTGACTGATTGGTAAATTAGTCAATTTAAAAAAATATGTTTGCACAAATAATAAAACATACAGTTTACAGACAAAAATTACTGTAAGAATAACAACAACAGAATATTGGACAATGAATTCAACACCATGTGTGCTTCAAAATAACATGCAATGCCGCCTACTTTAAACATCTATATGCACACACACATACACACAGACAGGCAGACAGACAGACATGGTTACGAGTAATGTGCACAGATTGTGGGTTAGTAAGGATTAGGGGTAAAATCAGGCAAACCAAAAGTGTTTACTACAACTGATATGTATACATATATGTATATATAGATAAATAGGATGATTAGTGAAATGTTAGCATGAGAGTTACTGCATCATAGAGAAAAAAGGCAAACACCCTAGGAAACATACAATGTACATAGATCTATATATATATATATATACACACAAGGGAGACAAGGCAGAGATGATTAAAGATTAGTTTACAGGCGAAGAGATGATGACGAGGAGGAGGAGAGGAAAACAACAACAGTCATAAGTAGAACATTTTTTCAAAACGTTAAATCGAATCAATCAATCAATCAATCAACCAACCAACCTGCCAGTATGTTTTTGACCTAAAGAAATTTATAGACAAAAAAATGAGAGGTGTTTCGCGGCGAACAAACACACATGAAAAAAACTCAGTAGATAAAATTGTTACGATTAGAGTATTGAAATAACAACTAGATGATTGATATACACTTGCAGTTATTTACGAGTTCACCTTACTCTCGGTAAATGGAACGAAGTGCAATTATGCAGTAGGCTATTCTAATCCCCGGTCCGGCTATTTATAGTAAGAAGTCTCGATATGGCGTAGAAGGTGCATTCTACAAGCATCCAGAAAATACGAGATTGTTTAGGCACTCAATCAAATCAAGCTTATTTATACAAGGATAGAAACGCCCTTGGTGACAGCCATCAACCAATGACAGTCAAGAATTTTCTGAGTGGGAATCTCAAGGTCAACTAAACGACTTATGGGAGAAAACATAAGTTACAGATGATGAGGAGTTCTGAATATATTAGAATTTGAGTGAACATTAAGAGTGGGTGCATCTGCACCATCGCAAACGATTTTGAGCCATGTCGTTCAAGGTCTCTAACTATAGGTTACTTTCGTCTCGCGGACCCCAACCCGTTAGTCTACATCTACCAAACTGAGTCAGTCCACTTGTCAGTAACTTCATGGATTTCTGCCATGTTTTGGTTTGGCCACCCCTAGCTTTCTTCCAACCTACTCCTATACCACAATACATAGCTCGGTGTTCAGTTCGATTCCCTAATTTTTGAATCTATCGATCAATGACAAATGGAGGATGAACAATAATAATAATAATAATAATAATAATAATAATAATAATAATAATAATAATAATAAAGTGAATCAATGTACATTGATTAACAAAAAACTGATCTCATGAATTATAAACTTACGTGGTTCAACAGTAGCAACAGTATTGAGATCATTTCCAATTGGACGAACTATACTACTCATACCGGGACTACATGAAGAAGCTCGATAATTATGATTATGATTACAATTAGACGATGATAATGTAGTTGTTATTGTTCGTTGTGTTGCAGCAGCAGGAGGTTGTGAGCGTTCATTCAATGAATAAATCATATCATTATTACGTGAATGAGATTGATGAGCAGGGATTATTTTCAATGATCCTTGACTATTATTATTATTACCACCTTGTCGTGCCATGGATAAAACCTTGAACAAAAAAGTGATTTTAAATTAATATTGGAAGACAAAAAAACATTTGAATGTTAGGATATTCATCCAATATCCTAAGAGAATTATTGGTAAGTTTAATCCTATTGGTCGATTTCTATTGGTCAAAATTATGGTCGTTTTAACTGTCAATGTCAAATACTTCAATGTTGTCTCTTATTGGTTGGTCATCCGGACTGTCAATGTCATTTCAAATGTTACTTCCTATTAGTAGTCGTCTTAACTATCAATGCCACAGAATTCGATCCTGTTTCCTATTCGACCAAAATGTATAAATACGCATTATGTGTAACGATTTTCTGACCACGACTAGGACCCGGTCCCGGATCCCTAGTCCGGGATCCTGATTCTCTTCTGGATTCGGACCTCGTAATTTCTGGATGCTTGTAGAATACACGTTCTACTTCATATCACGTCTTCTTATTGTTACTAAATATGGGGGTTGGGATAATCGGATTCGAGTAGCATGTCGTGTCACCGGATCCTCGATCCTCGCTCTCGTTTTCCGACTAGGTAAACTTGTAATAGTTCAAGTATATCAAGTTGACGTGTTTATGTGCAGGCGTAACATTAATAATTAAAATTACAGAAATAAACAACACTAAATTAATTCAATGAAGTAATTATCTATCAATTGTAATAATTCAATGCGACAACTTAGTGAAGAACTTAGTAAACATTGAGGACGGCACACAGACTCGTTCGAAGTGAAAACCCACTTGTGTCATGCAACGTTGCTTACTGACTGACTCTTTCTCTTTTTTTTGCTGGTGCTCGACTAGATTATAAAGCACGAGATACAGTGAACAGCTTCAATGTAGATGGACGATCTAGACTTTGTAGATGATTTAGCCCTTCTATCCTACACTCAACAACAAATTCAGGAGAAGATGAGCAGTGTAACAGCAGCCTTTGCAACAGTCGGCCTCAATGTACTCAAGTTTGAAAGTAAGATTCTCCGATACAACACAACATGCACCAACCAAATCACACTTGAACAGAGAAGTTTTGGAAGATGTAGGAACATTTACATATCCGAGCAGAATCATTGATGAGCCAGGTGGATCTGTTCCAGATGTAAAAGCGCGGATTGGCAAAGCAAGAGCAGCATTTCTACAATTGAAGAACATCTTAAACTCGAAACAACTGTATGTCAGCCAACATCAAAGCCAGAATTTTTCAACACAAATATCAAGACAGTTCTACTGTATGGGGGTGGAAACTTAGAGAACTACCAAAGCCATCACTCGGAAGATACAAGTATTAATTAACAGTTGTCTATGCGAAATATTTCGGATCAGCTGGCCAGATACTATCAGAAACAACCTACTGGGGGAGAGAACAAACTCGATTCCAGCAGATGACGAAGCATTGAAGGTGGAAAGCGTTCAACTACGTCACAAGACAAGTCCTCACTTGGATTCCTCAAAATCATAAGCAAACAGGAAGGTCAAGGGATACATTACGCTGAGAAATGAAGACAGACATGAGGAGAATAAACAACAATTGACTGGAACAGGGAAGGAAGGCCCAGGGCAGAGTAGGTTAAAGAATGCTGGTTGGTAACCCATACTTCTTTAGCGGTAGCCGAAGTAAGTAAGTAAGCAAGTAAGTAATTCTACAAGGATGAGTAAAAAACCTTATATAACAATCATACAATAAATATATATATATATATAAACAAGATGAAATTCTACTTTTCTTACCTGTTGATATGATGGTGGAGTAGGTCGTTCTTGTTGTACACGTTGTTGTTGTTGCGATGATTGACACCCTGTAGTGAATTTATTCCGTTCCGATGGTCTATAATGCAAATGACTATTAGTATGATTACTGTTGTGATGATTAACTTCTGAACGTGAAGACACCATTGTAGTTGGTGGTGGTGCTGCTGCCGCTGCTGTTGATGTTGTTGTTGTCATTACTGTTAATGGAGATGGTGTGACATAATTTATAGGATTTTGTGAATTTCTATCCGACAATTGTTTAACATGCAATAATTGTTTATTGTCAAGTTTAGTATTTGAAGCTTGTGCAGTATGAGTTGGCACCGTGGAAATATGACCAACTTGATAGAGAAAGTTAGAAGAAAAGAATAACATACAGAGGAAATAAATGAATAAGGAAGAAATCATGAATCAATCCATGTTAGATCAACATTAGAAACCTGGAAGCGCTAACAAGTCGATTTGTTCTGGTATAGGACTCATCAGTGGTAGTGTGCATTCACGAGACTCCTGCGTCTCGCAGGATTCGAACCCAGGACCTTCAGTCTCGCATGCGAACGCCTAGCCTCTGGATTACTGGGCTGGCGGCATCCAACAGTGTTGATGTCTATCTCTGATCGATCTAGGGATTTTGCGCGACCTCACCCATTTTTATTCGGTATGAATGAAAGAAATTCTATCCATACACACAGAAAGCGCTTAAATAAGCTAAACTTGAAGAACTTTAAGTCTTACAAGGGTGTGTTACAGTGAAAGATAGCGATGTGTTATCATTCACACTCTGTTTCGGTGTGAAGCAGTGCACACCGAAGACAGTGAATTGATCGCAGTTAGAAAAATACACCGTTAGGTACCGGCTAAGTGGTTCAGAGGTCAGGAGTTCGCGCACAATACCGGAGGTCCAGGAGTTGTGGATGCGCACTGCCACTGATGAGTCCCACACCAGGACGAAACAGCCTTCAAGTGCCTGTATGTTTCTAATGGTGGTCTAACGATGACTGTTTGAAAAAATTCAAACAACGGATACACCGGCGCCACTGCAAACAGTTTAGAGCCATGTCGTCAAAGGTCTCTAACCGTTGGTGACTTTTGTATCGCGGACCCCAACCAGATAGCCTACATCTACCAACATGATCTCAATCCATTTATCAGTGACTTTATCGATTTCTGCCATGTTTTGGTTTGGACACGCCTAGCTTTCTTCCAACCTACCTCTACACCACAAAGCATCGTTCATCAAGGCAGCTGGTGGTTGGGCATTCATAACACATGCTCCTAACCACTTCAACTGATGAAGTTTCAATACTTCATCTATTGAATTGCCCATCCTTACTTAGTACTCGTTTCCTAACGACAGCATTGCTTACTCGGTTGTCACAGGATACACGAGCAATGCTTCGTGCACATAATACAAGTCGGTAATAATTAGCCTGTTAAAAATCGATAACAATATCAAATAAATTTCTGTCTGTATCAGACAGTTCAGTCAATTAATTAACAAGCAGTAGTAGTAGTACTACTGTGAAAGTTTAAAATGTAAATTACATGTCAATCTTGTTCAGACTTAATAAAAATTTTTTCAGACACTATGTGTGTGGTGAAATTGAGAGACAGACTACTTAATCAATTCCTAAAAAAAGTTTTTTCTACTGGCCAAATTTGAATGAAGTTAGTTCATCAAACATTATACAACAATAATGAAAGTTTTTATTTCCTATGCTAATCTGACTACATACATATTGACGAATACATTGAGCAAATGACTATTACTACTGTTAGGATATTCAATATCCAATATCCTAAGAGAATTATTGGTCAAATCCTATTGCTCGATCTCTATTGGTAAAAAATTATGGTCGTTTTAACTGTCAAAGTCAAATACTTCAATGTTGTCTCTTATTGGTTGGTCATCCGGACTGTCAATGTCATTTCAAATGTTCTTTCCTATTGGTCGTCCTAAACTGTCAATGTCACAGACTTTGATGCTGTTTCCCATTCGACCAAAATGTATGAATACGCATTATCTGTGACATTTTATGACCAGGACCCAGTCCCGGATCCCTAGTCCAGGATCCTGATTCCCTTCTGGATTCGGACCTCGTACTTTCTGGATCCTTGTAGAATACATGTTCTAATTCATATCACGTCTTCTTATTGTTACTAAATATGGGGGGTTCGGATAATCGGATTTGAGTAGCATGTCGTTTCGCCGGATCCTCGATCGTTGCTCTCGTTTTCCGACTAGGTAAACTCGTAATGGTTCATGTATATAAAGTTGACGTGTTTACGTGCAGGTGTGACAACAACAACTACTACTACTAACCAACCAGTCAAATTTAAAACTTAACATTAATAATTTGCAAACAGAAAGATCAAAGAAATTCTGTATGTTATAATTCTCTCTTAGTAGAACCCAAGCTATTCTCCTATTGCACTTAGAGTATTCTTGGATACCAATCTACTCGACAAGTCCCTCAAATGAGAACACGTTTCAACAGGGAAGAGATGATATATTCCAAATGGCAAGGTTAAATGAAAGTAAGAAGCCGAAGCAGAATAAGATGAACGTTAGTTACTGTATAGTTTTTATATGAGAAGCTTCTAGAATATTCGCCAAGTATCGACCAGGCGCTGATTGGATGAGAATTAGCCAATCAGCATGTAGCTAACACAAATCATGCTTTTATCCAATCTATGTCCCGCTAACATTGTATGATAAATTAACGAAAGTAATGAGTAGGACATTGTATGCAGTCAATTTTGCGTCGACTTTCTCAAATCGACCAGTGATGTCTATCTAAATGAAGGACAAGTTACCTGAATTGACCTCCTCTTCAATGTACATTTACAAATTCGCCTGCTCTTATGGAGATAGCTAATATCGGGCGTACTCAGTCAGTCAGTCAGATGCAACGTACAACTTCGTACGTAAGTACATCAGTTCATGTCGCCATACCACATTAGCACAGAGATGTAATTGTCAATTCAAATCCAATAGTAGTAGAGGTAGGTAGTAAAGGTATTAGAAGTTATCGGAGAGGTTAGGATTAGAAGATATTATTCAAGAAGTATGATTCAGTGAGAAAAGTTTAGAAAGTCAAAACTAGAGTTGTTGAAGAACCCAGAAGATTAGGATTTGAGAGAACACAAAGAATGAGAATGCACCGGCGCCATTGCGAACGATTTTGAGCCATGTCATTCAAAGTCTCTAACCATCGATTATTATCATCTCGCGGACCCCAACCAGGTAGTCGACAATTACCAACATGGCTAAGTCCACTCGTCAATGACTTCATGGATTTCTGCCATGTTTTGGTTTGGCCGCCCCTAACTTTCTTAGGGGCGTGCTACTAGTCAACTTAATCAACAGGATGAGTGAACATCACCCAACCAGATAAAAACAATCCACAATTCTATCTTGGCACATCTAATTAATATAGCGGTCATATATTGTAGATAAAACTGAATCATTTCAAGTGATCTATCGCGTATACCTTCATCAACTTCCCAGCGGAATTCAATCCTGTCTCCTACACATATAATAAAGCAGAGAAAGCCGTAGGAATTCGACACATTCAACACGACATATTATGTGTTCGCAAAGAAATTTGTGACACCACCTTGTGTCTCTCCTCTCGCCTTCCTTGACTGGATAATAAGTTTGTTAATAAACAATTATTTTTTCAAAAAAAAAATAAACTTGAATAAAAAAAATAATAAAACTTACCTGGTGTTTGTTTCATCATTCCAGATGATAAATTATTTGGTATACGATGATTATTGGTAGTAGCAGTTGTAGTATTGTTCTGGCTTTCATATCGTGTATTATTATTATTATTATTGATCAGGTCATTTTTCAATGATTGATGTACTACTCCTACTCGTTGTTGTTGTTGTTGGACATTGACATTTTGAGGATATTTTAAAGCTAATGCAATTTCATATGGCGGAGGTCGAGTCGGTTTGGAAGTAACATCTGTGGTGTGTGTATGTGTGTGTGCGTGTGTAGGTGTTGATGAATGAAAAAGAGAGATGGGGAAGAGGAAAGGAATTGAATTGAATGAGAGAGAGAGATAACATGCATAAATATGTAAGCATGTAAAAAAAACACGACAAATTTCAGAGAGATTAGTTGTTCACCAATAAACATCGTGTAACTAATACAAAACGCCAATCAGAATTACACATTTGAAATCATCAATCAAGCATTGTTAGACTAGCATCATTAGAAACCTGGAAGCACTGGACGGCCGTTTCGTTCTGGTATGGGACTCATCAGCAGTGCACCTTCACGACTCCTGAACCCCGCAGGATTCGAACCCGGGACCTTCGGTATTGTGTGCGAACACCTAACCATTACCTTCTAACATTGGTAAATCATGCGAAATTAGTGAATACATTGATTAGGAGTTTATGAAAAAGGGGGATTATAGGACTCATCATCAGTGTGCATCCTCGACCCCCGCTCGCGGGAATCGAACCCGAAACTTTCGGTGTCGCGCGAGAACTCTACAATGAAAAATCATAAAATGGACTAGCCTGGAGTTTTAGTGAGAAGCCGCACCTGGTAGAGTTCAACCCTGTTGAGTGTATGCAGTCACCTACCGAAGAAAATTGGTGAGTATTATTCATGCACGTAAACACGTCATTTGATATGCTTAAACTATTACGGGTTCATCATAGTCAGTAAACGAGAGTGAGGATCAAGGATCCGGCGACACGACAGACTACACTAATCCGACCGTCTCAAACTCCCACTGAGTAAAAGAAGAAGACTTGATATGAAGTAGAACATGTATTCTAAAAAAAATAATTCTCTTAGGATATTTGATGAATATCCTAACAATGAGGTTGAGAAATAATTCGGATTGATTTAAGTTAGACATTAACATCGTTGAATGTTGAATCCGTGGTGCAGAGGTTAGGCTTTCGCATGCGAGACCGTAGGTCCAGCGGCTCGATTCCCTTAAGCGGAAGTTATGCATGAACACTGACGTTGAGGAGTCCCATACTAGGACGAAACAGCCATCCAGTGTTGCAAGATTTCTAATAATAGTCTAAAACACTGATCGATTCATTATTTCAATGAAACTGCACAATATCCAAACAAACAGACAGACAGATACAACGCAGAACTTCGTACATAAGTACATTAGTTCACGTTGCCAAACCACGTCAGCACAGAGACGTAACTATCAGTTCAAATCCAAGAGTGATAGTGATAGTAGAATTATTAGCAGCAATGGAGAAGATTAGGGAGCAAAGATATGATTCGAAAAGTATAATTCAGTAAGATAAATTTAGAAGGAGAAAGGTAGAGATTATAAGGAATTCAGAAGGTTAGAATTAAAATGCACACAAAGAGTGGATGCAACTGCGGCATTACAAACGATTCTAAGCCATGTCGTTCAAGGTCTCTAACCATCGGTGACTTTCGTCTCGCAGACCCCAACTAGATAGCCTACATTTACTAACATGACTCAGTCCACTTGTCACTGACTTCATGGATTTGTGCCATGTTTTGGTCTGACCGCCTCTAACTTTCTCCCAACCTATTCCTACACTACAAAACATAGCCGGACGAGGCAGTCAGTGGTTAGGCATTCGTAACACATGTCCCAACCAACTCAACTGATGAAGTTTCATTACTTCATCTATTGATTTGCCACACCTACCTAGAACTCGTTTCCTAACGAAAGCATTGCTTACTCAGTAGACCCATGATACACGAGCAATGCTTCAGATACACCTATGATCGAAGACTAGTAATCTCTATAACTCTATTAAATACAAAATTACCGATAATTATCAACGCTAATACTCATATTAGCGCACCCCCCCACCAACAAAACACTTTAAACATTCCAATGTAATGTGTATTAAAAGTTGAAGAAGGCAGTAAATTATTTTAGAGAGAAACAGACAATCAATACAACAATGATGCATGAAAATCAACCAATCAATCAAGTTGGTCAGTTAGTTAGTTAATTGATGATGATGATGATGATGATGATTTGTGTACGTGTACTTAACAATTCACAAAAAAACAAAAACAGCATTTAATACTAACGGAGATGCATATCACAACAACAAGGTCATATGATCCGAAAAAAACTTAATTATTAAAAAAAACCACAAGTCTAATTATGTACATACATAAGCACACACGCACCACACACACATACACTGTGAACTATGCCACCCGTATCTGTATCTATCTACCTATTTATCTATCTATCTATCTATTTAAACGGCATTGTTTTTTCCATCTCATCTCTATCCTCTCACAATGTTTTGGTTCTCTCTACATGTCAGTAAATCGTTTGCACCACCACCACCATTGCCCTCCCATCAATAACAGTAACAAATTACAATCTCTTAAAGTACAATTCAGCTATCAGATGTATATGTAGGTATGTATTTATGTATACCTTGTTTGTCAATTACGAAAATAAAATCAAGGTTTTTTTTTGAAAAGAAAACAACTCAGCAAATTATTACTACTACTAATCGAAATTGAATCACTCACTCACACACACACTCTCCCTCTCTCTTTCTCGCTTCAACCATATTCCCCTCAGAACTTTATGAAATACATGAGACACGCAATGTGGCAAGTAGCTGAAAAAGGTTTAACAATTTATAAACAAGAAACAAAATAAGACAAAATTCTTTCGGGCCTCGAATAGTCAACTGGCTTATCTTGTACACTCAACAACACATGCAAGAGAAGACGACTAGTGTAGCCGGGGGAACAGCAGCAGGTTTCAACATAATACACAGAAAGGGGAAAGCAAGATTCTCCGATATACAATACAACATTCACCGACGACATCACATTTGATGGAGAAGTTTTGGGAGATGTAGAAACACTTACAGATCTGGGTAGCATCATTATTGATGAGCACGGTAGATCTGATGAAGATGTAAAGGAGAGGACTGGCAAAGCAAGGACAGCATTTCTACATTTGAACACAATCTAGAACTCAAAACAACTATCAACCAACACCGAAATCAGAATTTTCATTACGAAAGACACTTCTGTTGTAGGGGTGGAAACTTGGGAAACTACCAAAGCCATCATTCACAAGATTCAAGTGTTCAGTAACAGTTGTCTACGCAAAATACTTCGGATTCGTTGGCCAGACACTATTAGCAACAACCTACTGTCGGATAGAACAAACCAGATTCCAGTGGAGGAAAAAATCAGGAAGAAGCGCTGGAAGTGGATAGAGAAAATTTGTAGCTCAGATGGATGATTACGGTGGTGTTTCGTTCTCTGAGCTGGGTGTCTTGGTTGTTCTTCTGAAAAACATCATCAGCACAAACTTCAGATAGAAGAAGTAAAGTATTCGAATTTCCCCATGTCTGACCGGTAGCTTGGCATCCAAGTCAATCAGAAATCAACAAACACATCGACATTGACCCAATAATTTATCAACCAATCAGAACAACCATAGGCAAACATAGGATCAAGAAACAGATCAAAAGGGGGATACAATAGAAACAATGGTGCAAACAAAGACAGGTTTAAGGTCAATAGCAACCAATCAAGATTGAGGTTAACAGAACAAGCTACGGGTCAGACATGGAGAAATTAGAATACTTCACTTCTCTACTTGAAGTTTGTGCTGATGATGTCAATCAGAAGAAGAACAATGAAAGCTCCACAACCAAAACATCCAGCTCAGAGCACGAAACACCACCGCAAAGTAAGTAAGTAACTTGATTATCGCCTATGGAAGTGATCATGACAGTTTCTAACTTGGAGTTAAGTTTGTTTAATCAACCAATCATGTGAGCATAAAAATATTCTGATCGGATTTGTTTTATTGGTTGAACCAACCACTAACACACAGTTGGAGAGTGCGGAAACAAGCTAACAAATCCATTGAAAATATCCACTAGTTTTGTAAGTAATGTATCCTAATAATGTGTCTCTGCTTTCTCAAATCCTGACCAAATAATCACATCTTAAATTGATTGGAGCATATCAGTAAACATTCTAAAAAAACAAATGACTTGGTGGTCTTAAGAGTAAAAAGATAACTGAGTACACTACATACATACATACACACACACACACGCTATACTCGATTGAAGTAAGAGAGATCAAACACAAAGTTATGAGTTAAGTAATAACAGATTTACGCACTCGATTTGAAAGCACATTTTTCTGTGTAATAAGGTCAGTTATTACATACTAACCAACTGTTCGAGCCGAAGTAGATGGAGGTATTGGTCACAACCAAATGGATGCTACAATACAAACACGCCTTACTACGGAAAGTTATTGTATTTACATTCCCAATGGAGAATAAGTTTTCGTGAGATTTTCTTCTGGTTAGTATATTTTTTTCCTTAGCAAGTTTCTAATGGTGGTCTAACAACAATTGATTGATGATTTCAAATGTGTAAAAAAAAACATAAACCTCCAAAAACTCTGCCCCAAAATATCGTAACAGTGCTCACTAGTGACTAGATTCGTGAGGAAATTCTCAGAGTTCTAGTTGAGAAGACGTGACCAATGTGGAGTTCAACCCTGTCAGGTGTAGGCAGTAACTAACCAAAGACAAATGGGCGAGGTCGCGCAAAATCCCTAGATCAATCAGAGTTAGACATTAACACCGTCGGATGCCGGCACAGTGGTCCGAAGGTCAGTCGTTCGCGCACAATACAGGAGGTCCAGGGTTCGAATCCTGCGAGTTGCAGGAGTCGTGGATGCGCACTGCCACTGATGAGTCCCATACCAGGACGAAACGGCCGTCTCTCAGTGCTTCCAGGTTTCTAATGTTGGTCTAACAATGACTGATTGATGATTTCAAATGTGCAAGTTTGTTTTCTACGAGATGGAGTTGGTACTCTCTCATGCCCAACCATCCTCCTTTATTCGTTCGTAGATTGGAACCAACAGTAATTCTAGAAAAGCCTATAGGCTGAATGAGATTTTATACACTCTAATAAATTTGAATATACTATCAAATTTGCAAATATGATGATACACTTACATTGTGGAATTATTCTTTGTATAGTAGATTGTCGATAATTACGAGGTATAGACAGTAATGGACCACCACCACCACCACCACCACCACCAAGTGGAACTGTATTCGCTGTTGGATATAAATAATTCTCATCGGAATTGAATGAAGTTGAATGTTGGTGTTGTTGTTGTTGTTGTTGTAATAATGATGATTGGTCTCTAGAACGAGCTGAATGTACTGTGGCTTGTTGGTTTTGGTGTTGGTGTTGTTGATTTGAAGGATAGGCACCACTTGCACCAGATGTATGACTAGGCCAATATGGGCAAGTCATCATTTGTTGCTGTTGTTGTTGTTGTTGTTGATGGTGCTGGTGCTGTACGGGGATACCACGACAAGATGATGAATGAAGCGCTGTAGCAGTATTAGGATTCGATGCTGGACGAGATCCAATGTAGTTTGGTAGAGACTGATGATTTGGTTGTTGTTGCTGTACAAAATAACAAGAAAAAATAATCTCTCTAATAAATATACGAATGAAGATCATTAAACTTTTATTTTATAAAATTTAAGGAGAGAACAAACCAGAATCCGGTGGAGGAGGAGATCAGTAAGAAGTGGATAGGACACAACATTGTGGAAAGCACTCAACTGGGTCACAAGACATGCCCTCACTTGAAACCCTCAAAGTCAAGGGAAAACAGGAAGGCCAAGGAACACATTACGCCGAGAAATAGAGACAGATATGAGAAGAATGAACAATAATTGGACAGGACTGGAAAGGGATGCCCAAGACATAGTCGTCTGGAGAATACTGGTCGGCGGCGTATGCTCCATTGGGGGTAACAGGTGTAAGTAAGTACTCGTTCCATGCATAAAATCATCAATGGAAGGTCTCAGAGAAGTTAAACACGTTAACTGACTTATCGTTTCATATATTATCTTTCATTCATTCATCTATGATGTTGGCTTTTATAAGCTTTTAGTCAGATGTCACAGTAATTTCGATACAATTATTACACATAACTAGTTTATCAACTCCATAAGTTTTGTTAGTTAGTATCGTGTGTGAATACGATTTCCAAGAATAAAAATTTATCAGTAGTCTCTTGGATTAGTTTACTGTGCAGCTGTGTCAAATATAGCCACTAAGAATAGAGGATATTTGCAAGTCATTAGTATTTGACCATAGGTGTCTTCGAGGCATTGTTCATGCATTCATTCTAAGACTACCGAGTAAGCAGTGCTGTTGTTAGGAAAAGGGTACTAGTTAAGGATGGCAGATCAATTGATGAAGTAGTGGGACATGTTAGGTATGCTTAACTACCAACTACCCCGACGAGTAATGTTCTTTAATGTAGGGGTAGGCTAGGAGAAAACTAGAGGCGGTCAAATCAAAACATAGCACAAATCCATGAGCCAACACGTTAGTAGGTGTAGACTAGTTGGCTGGGATCCACGAGACAATCGTGACTTCATGGATTTGTGTCATATTTTGGTTGGCCACCCCTAGAGCTTTCTTCCAACCTACTTCTACACCACAAAACATAGCTCGACGAGGCAGTCGGTGATTGGGCATTTGTAACACATGTCTCAACAGACGTAACTGATGAAGTTGCAATATTGCATCCATTGACCTGCCATCCTTACCTAGTATCCATTTCCTGACAACTGTATTGCTTACTCGATAGTCCTAAGATAAACGACCAATGCTTCGGACAGTCAGACAGATACAACGCAGAACTTCGTACATAAGTACATCAGTTCAGGTTGCCATGCCCCATCAGCGCAGAGATGCAACTGTCAGCTCAAATCCAAAAGTGATAGCAATAATAGAAGTATTAGCAGTAATGGAGAAGATTAGTGAGCGAAAATATAATTCGATGCACCTGCGCCATTGCAAACGATTCTGAGCTATGTCGTTCAAGGTCTCTAACCATCGGTGACTATCGTCTCGCGGACCCCAACCAGGTAGCCTACATCTACCAACATGACTCAATCCACTTGTCAGTGACTTCATGGATTTATGCCATGTTTTGTTCTGGCCGCCCCTAGATTTCTCCCAACCTACCCTGTACACCACAAAACATAGCTCGTCGAGGCAGTCGGTGGTTAGCCGTACATAACACCACTGACTGCCAATGCTTCGGAGATACCTATGGTTGGAAACCAGTAACCTACGAATACCTTCTACTCTTACTGACCATGTTTCACAGCTATAAATGAAGACGAAACCAACTGCTGCGCAGTACACTCGTCCTTTGGTTAGTAGACGGATATCTTCACATGAAAATGATAATTAAACGATCAAAAAGTGTACACAAAAACAAACCATAAACACAGCATTCATAATTATAATACTTGACATAGATAATTTTATTACCTGACTACTGTAATGCTGTTTCATAGTAGTAGCAGTAGTATTATTGGTGGATTGACCTCGATTATGCGGTGGAGATGCAGATATCTGTTGGTGTTGAATCAAAGAATGCTGCTGCTGTTGTTGTTGGTGTTGCAGCTGCGTCTGCGGCTGATGTTGATGTTTTTGATTCGGTAATAGAGCATACATTTGATTTGTTACAGAATTATGATTATGATTATGATGATGTTGATTGTACAGCACCACATGATTAGTTGTTGTTGTACCTGTGATGATACGAGATGGCATCGGTATAAGATTATCTAATAGGTAACTTTTACTGCCTATTGTACCAGAAGCATTCATATAACATCGAGTCGATTGTGTTGAATAACGATTCTGTGTATGTTGATGTTGATGAGATTGATGAGGTTGATGTTGATGTTGATGAAGATGGCTGAGATGCTGTTGCTGTTGCTGCTGATGATGATGAGGATGTAAGTGATTAGAACATGCGGTATTGAAAGCAGACGATGATGTCAAAACAGTGCTATTACTATTATGGTTATTATGTTGAGATTTCAATTGACCAAATCCAATACCAGCATATGGGCCAACTGGTGATGATGATGATGTCGTCATAAACATCGACTGATTACCACCATTATTACTATTGCTATTGCTGTTACTACAATGAAAGTAATTTGGAAAAGTGAATGCTGGTAAACGTCTCTGTGAAGCACGTTTACTGCCTACACTTAAAGCTAATAGTTTACGAGCATCTTCAATGGATTGTGCACCTAAAATTGGACGAGTTAATGAATCAGTAGATTTGGTGAATGTTGTCGAATTATGTGCAACTGCTGTTGCTGCCGCTGATGATGCTGGTGATGAAGCAACACATGTGGATGGATCGGTGATTAGGGCATTGGTAAATTTAAGTGGTGTAGTTTTATTTGTGTTTGATTCGACGACTAGAGTAGATTGAGTAGTAGTAGTAGTAGAAGGTTTTGTAGAAGATAGTTTCAAACCTACACAATAAGTAATCAGGTATATATTGAAGGGGGGAAAAAACAGAAGCATTTACAGTACATGAAATTCAATACATTTTTGCATTGAAAAGGAAAAAAATCGACTGACCTAATTTTAGACAGTTGAAGTGGTCCGACATAGTAGCACAACAGTGGAACAGTTTAGTTATTATTCTAGGCCTAATAACTGATCTTAATCCAACTGGTAAGTTTGTGTTTAGAAAAGGTTTGTATTTCTCTCTTGTTAATATTTAACAGAAAAAAATACTGTTGGCATATGTTTAACCTAACAGCGAATGGCTTGGATATTGACTCTTAATGATACGGATTTTGATTTAAGTATTTTCTGTACTATAAATCAGGCTGATGACATATTTCTATTTGGTGAAGAGGCTGACAAACTGCTGAGTCTTCTAACCACCCTAAGCAACAATACAAGCATGTTCGAGATGTGGCTCTCTCCGTCAAAATGTAAAATTACGCTTCAAGATTGAGTTGCTGCATCGGCACATCTGAACTAGTGATACAAAGTGAAGTAGTTGAGCGTATTGACTGCTTCATTTATCTCGGGAGTTTTATTAGTGCTGATAACCTGGTGACTGATGAAATCTCAGCACCAATCCGGGAAGGCTCAATGTTGTAACTGACTGACTGAGAAATCAGACAGAGGAACAGCATGTGCGCCTTAAACAATCTGGGATGTGACTGCATCTGTTTTGAGTGTTCTTCACACAATGAGACACATATCATCTCAATCCTCATACATACCATTCACTAACTTATATAATCCAGACAGATATACTGAGTTCGAACCCTGACACTGAGATGCAGGTAGCTATATATATATCCAGTTAACAAAAATCACTAAGAAGAAGAACTGAAAACATGAATTCTGAATGTCATCAGAATGTACTTAAAAAGATTGTTCGTTCAAAATCATTCATAAATATTCATGACCTTTTCACCGGGAGATAACAGGTGCAATTGAAAGAAAACCTAAGTTGAGATGATGAAGAACACGTGTAGCTCAGGTGAATGATTATGGTAGAGTTTCTCATTTTCAGAGTTGGATGTTTTAGTTGTGGAGATTTCATTGTTGCTCTGAACCACATCATCATCAGCACAAATGTCAGCTAGAGAAGTGAAGTAATCAAAGTATTCTCCACATATGACTCGTAGTTCTTGTTTAGTTTGCGGGTGTTATTCGTCATTGACTGGATTCAATCAGTTAAGCAGAACCTTTATCATGAGACTCTTTACAATTGCATCAGCGATCGAATCTAGGTACTTTTGAGTTTCACAGGAAATAACTGACAAATTAGAAGCAATGGGTTGGCTCGTTAAAACAGCTTTTCAGTACTCTCTGGTTTTCAACGGTACTCTCTAAGTGAGACTAACTCGTGACAATTATTGCCTACAAATGGGAATGATCTCCATAAAACCCTTTACATTTGAACTACGAGTTTCGAACTTAGTTTTAACGGTTGATATTCTCAAATTTATTTACCTTCCATATGTTAAAATTTAATATAATTTTGTAAAATCTAATAAGCTCTGTCTGTTACTAGTGAGAGGTGTAGTCTGCCATTTAGAACTTAAATTTTGATCAATTTTCGATTATTCACATGTTTCGTAGCTTTGGATTTCAATTGATAACTGCAGTTAAGTATGACGAAGGTGCCAGTTTCAAAAGCATTATACTATTTTTACAATGTAGTAGTCAAATGTGAAGGTTGATTAGACAGCGAACTATTCAGTTTCACTTTCATCCATTGGATTCTTCATCACCTCTATCTTGCTCTTTCTAAATTTATCTGATTTAATTATATTTCTTGAATAATTTCTTCAAACCGTAATTTTTTCCATTACTGCTAATACGTCAAATACTCCTACTAGTGCTGTGGGATATTGAATTGACAATCCGATCTCTCTGTGATAATATGGTATGCCAACTTGGAATGATGTACATACGTACAAAGTTCTATGTTGTAGCTGACTGACTAACTGGCCGAACTTCATTCACTTTGGTTCAAGTAGCCAAGTGCTTACAAGAACTTCCTCTCTCTCTCTTGACCTAAGATCAACTAATATAGTAAGTCAATATTTGGTTAATGAGTTACATTGCATATATATATTAAGTGTAGTGTTAGGATATTCATCCAATATCCTAAGAGAATTATTATTTTGTAAGTCTAATTCTATTGGTCAATTCCTATTGGTGGTCGTCCTAACTGTCAATGTCACAGACTTCCAATGTTGTTTCCTATTGGAACTAACTGTCTAAATATGCAATATCTGTAACGTTTTATGACCCGAACCCGTATCCCTAGTCCGGGATCCTCATTCTCTTCTGGACTCGGACGTCGTACTTTTTGGCTGCTGTTGTAGAATACATGTTCTTCTTCATATTAAGTCTTCTTCTTTTATTCAATGGGGGATTTGGGACGTTCGGATTAGAGTAGGATGTCGTGTCACCGGATCCTCGATCCTCAATCTCATATTCCGACTAAGGTAAACTCGTAATACAGTTTCAAGCCTATCAAGTTGTCATGTTTATGTGAATATACGTAACACATAGAATACTCATTGAATACTTATTCATGTTTGTTTGAAAAAAAATATGACTACCTTTTGATTCTGTATTCATGTTGGACGCTGGAAGATTAGATGTATCCGACTGTTGTGAATCATTGAGTTCATTGGTAGTAGAAGTAGTAGTAGTCGTCGTGCTAGTAGTAGCAGTAGTAGTACCAGTATTTCCTACTAAAGATACAATAACCGGAGGTTGAACAATTTTCGAGTCTTTACCACCTGGTTCAATACGTGCAGATAATTGAGACAATAAGTCCGGATCTTGAATAACTCGTAGATTAGCAAAATACGTACGAATACGTAAAGTCATTAGCCAACTTTCATAAAGTTTTTTCGGATTAATTGAAGGTGAAATAGGACCGAGATTTGATCGTCGTCGAGATCCACTGCCGCCAACACCGGGAACACTGAACGGGTTGGCGCTAGATAAAAAGCCTACACTGGAAGGAGAAGTTGCAGCATTTCCATGTTGATGTGAACGCTTTTGTCCTAGTACAACGGAATAAAAAAATCAATCCAACTTATAAATAATAACGGTAAAAAAAGCACTTGTGAAATGTATTTATGTTAAAATTTATCAAAATATGTTAAATACATCGCGACCGAAGCTGCTACCTTGACGTGGTGGTCGGGCTTGCCTATCGTGATGACACAACCGAGCTATATTGGCTGGAACTTATGTTCCTGAAGGTTCTACCATTTAAGGCGGGCAGGTCGATTGGAGAACGATGAGACTAAAAGCAGCTACTCAAGGTCTGAGGGAGATGTCGTACTCTTGCTGACTGTAGAAGCGGTGTGACAGCAGTAAGGTGTTTCTGTCGGACAACCAGCATCTCACAAAAAGGGGGGGGTTAGAAAAGGTCAGCCCTAAAAATGTCACACCTACCCTACCTCACGGATTTCCGTCTCCTTGGGTAAGGGTGCCCACTAAGGGCCTTTAAGAGTGGAGCTGATCCTCAAATAACCTTTCATAAAAAGGCCGTGCGTGACCGGCCTCAAGCAGTCAGTTGTCCCTTGGACTCTGCGTTCACACACCCAGGTCTCCAAGACCAACGCTAATCTACCTTCCTTTTCAGGTTCCTCAAGAAACAACCTTCCACGATGGGTGGGCAGTCGGGAAGTGACAACCGCCCTCATACTCGTACTCTGACTGACTGTTAAATACATCATACTGTATATTCAAGTTTCACTAGCGCAGAATTTCTCACAACAAACACCTTCACAAAGTAAATTATTATAGAAAGAAATGCACTAACCGTTATAATCATTCGTCCCACTAGCTGAATGGATAGAATTCACGTCAATGTTCAATTTGTTTTCACGCTGATGTTGTTGTTGTTGTTGTGTTTGTTTACTATCATCAAACGAATTCGAATGATTGAATTTCACTTCAACCATATCATGCTCTGACCAATTCGAATCTAATCCAACTGAATGACTATTATTTGTTTGATTGTTGTTATTACTGTTATTACTGATTGATGTAAGACTTGAAAAATACAATTTTGGATTAATAGATGATGAGACAGCAGTCACAGCTTTCACTGCACGTGAACGTCCAACAACACCGGCGACTCCGCCACCACCGCCGCTGCCACCACCATGAGAAGCAGCAGCACTACGACTACGATGTGGTGTAGTAGTAGTAGTAGTAGTGCATAATAATATATCATAATCCACATTACACATTCGACAAATGGCACGAATCTGGTGTAAAGGTGGTATTATAAAATGAAAAAAAAATAGGGAGAAAAGTTGTTTGATAAGCGAAAACAAAGAGACTAATGACAACAACAACAACGAAACGTTTTCAAATACACACAAGGTTCTCTTAACGGCAAGTCAATTAGTCAGTCAGTCAGTTACAACGTAGGACTTTGTAAGCACGTACATAGCACAATAGCATAGACAGGCAGTTGTCAGTTCAAATCTCATAGTGATAGAGATAGTAGAAGTATTAGCAGTATGGGAGAAGATTACAGTTCAAAGATATTAGTCAAAAAAAGATAGAGGTGATAAGGAAATTCACAAAATTAGAATTTCAGAGAATGCAAACAATTTTCAGCTATATCATTCAAGGTCTCTAACCATCGATTACTATCATCTTGTGGACGCCAATCAGGCAGTCTACATTTTGTTACGCCTGCACGTAAACACGTCAACTCTATATACTTGAACTATTACGAGTAAACCTAGTCGGAAAAACGAGAGCGAGGATCAAGGATCCGGCGACACGACATGCTACGCAAATCCGATTACTCAAACCTCCCATATTGAGTATAAATAAGAAGACTTGATATGAAGTAGAACCTGTATTCTACAAGTATCCAGAAAGTACGAGGTCCGAATGCAGAAGAGAATCAGGATCCCGGACTAGGGATACGGGACCAGATCCTTGTCGTGGTCATAAAACGTTACAGATAATGCGTAATTATACATTTTGGTCGAATATGAAACAGCATCGAAGTCTGTGACATTGGCAGTTAAGACTACCAATAGGAAGCTACATTTGAAATGACAATGAATATCCTAACACATTTAACAACACTATTCAGTCCACTTGTCAGTGACTTCATCGATTTGTGCCATGCTTTAGTTTGGCCGCCCCTAGCTTTCTTCCAAAGCATCGTTCGTCGAGGCAGTCGGAGGTTAGGCATCTGTAGCAACACATGTCCCAACCACACCGCAACTGTTGCAGTTTCAATATTTCATCTAATGCTCTGCCATCCTTACCTAATTCTCGTTTCCTAACGACTCGGTTGTTCCAAGTAAGCAATACTATCCAAAGATTTACATCCAATCAAATTTAGGCAGCTTAAAAGCCTCAATACAAACACCTATATATATATATATATATATATATATATATATATATATATATACTACTGAATCAATAAATAACTCGCAACGCAGTTATTAGGAAACGAGTGCTAGATAAGAATGGCAGATCAATAGATGAAGTATTGAAACTTCATCAGTTTAGGTGGTTGGGACATGTGCTGCATATGCCTAACCATCGACTGCCTCGACGAGCTTTGTTTTGTAGTGTAGGAATAGGTTGTAAGAAAGTTAGGAGCGGCCAAACCAAAACATGGCTGAAATCTTTGAAGTCACTAACAACTGGATTGAGTCATGTCGGTAGGTGTCGACTAACTGGTTGGGGTCAGCGAGATGATAATAATCGATGGTTAGAGACCTCGAACAACATGGCTCAAAACCGTTTGCAATGGCGCCGATGCATTTATTCTTTGTGTTCTCTCAAATCTTAATCTTCTGGATTTTTCAACACCTCTAGTTTTGTCTTTCTAAACTTATCTCATTGAATCATATTTCTTGAATAATATCTTCTAATCCTAACCTTTCCGATAACTTCTAATACCTTTACTACCTCTTCTACTATTGGATTTGAATTGACAATTACATCTCTGTGGTGATGTGGTATGGCGACATGAACTGATGTACATACGTACGAAGTTGTACATTGCATCTGACTGACTGACTGACTGACTGAATAAATAACTCGAAATGTAATGATTTTTTTGTAAAGAATCAAAAATTCCAGTCAATTCACTGACTGTATGTAATAATCAACTTCATTTAGTATGTTATTTAGTGCATACACATGTTTGATTCCACATACACACATATACACACACACAAACGTATAACCGCGATAGCACAGCATTCCATAACACAAAAATACAAAACTCAATCATCATCTTGTTTGTCAAAAACAGTAGATAGCTTTCTTTTTTTACCTCCTTCTTATTTTTTTTCTTCTTTCGATGATAGTCAAAAATTTGTGTTGTTTTACTTCAAACTACTCATTCATTCATTCTTCTTTTGATGTTATTAAACATGTGATGTGTGTGTGTGTAAGGTATGCATGCGCTTTAGTTAGTTAGTTAGTTCGTTAGTTAGGATATCATGTCAATCGCGTTGGTAAAATGCTAGGTTAACTTTATAGGGAGGAATACATCACATATCAGTTTAACAAAAGATCATTTATTGATTTTATTGACAAGTTTATTTCAATGAAATAAACAATGAATTTTTGTTGGATTCTTTTCATACTTAACTCAGTCAGATTGAGTCTCACACATGAAATTGATCATAGATAGTGGTTGGTATTTTGATATGCGATAAACTGTAGATATCGCTCTATGTTGCTGTTTTGTGTTAGTTTTATGTTGGGGATGTTAGATCTACAGAATTCGCTTGATAAATTCCTTATTCACGTTTGCGAGCATGGGCTGATCAGTTGACCTTGAGATTTCATTTCCCACCAGCAAAATCCATGGCTGTGATTGGCTACTGAGTCATTTTAGTGTGCTATTTTTGTGACTGTCCCAAGGATGTTTCTATGATGTATAAATAAACGAGAGTTGTATGCTTGATTGTACTGTGTGATTGCTGGGTGTTTGTAGAATATACTTTCTACGCTTACAAAGCCTTTTATCTTCAGCTTGGGATTCAAGGTAGCCTATCTGGACTCTGGTTCATTGTCTCGTTCGCGTTTATCGACTAAGGTGAACTCGTAATAGCTTCAAGCTTACCTAGTAACGAACATAACATTTTAGTTGATGAAATAATATACTCTGTACTTGGAAGATGACAAATCGGATCGATATGGATTTGTGCTAGATGATTCTCTACATGGTTGATAATATGAATGCATGTCTGCTTGAAATAGGGAAGTTGGACAGCTAAGCTAAAAGGGTGGATAGAAAGTGTATCTGTTATGCTCATCACTTGATACGCTTGAAACTATTACGGGTTCATCTTAGTCGATAAACGAGAACGAGACAATGAACCAGTGACACGGTAGGCTACTCTGATCCGTTGATCCAAAGGAACTAACGAAGAAGTTTTGATATGGCGTAGAAAGTGTATTCTACAAACACCCAGCCAGCACACAATGATCTCAAGCACAGACATCACGTCTATTTATACACCATAGAAACGTCCTTGGGAGAGTCACAAAAATAGTGCACTAAAATAACACAGTAACCAATCACAGCAAAGGCTTCTCCTGGTGGGAAATGTAATGTCACGGTCAACTGATCAGCCCATGAATAAAATCCAAAATAAAGACATTTATCAAGCGAGTTTTGGGGATCTAACGTCCCCAACACTTCTCCCCCTTTTTAATAACGTGCGCTCCTGGGGTCGACTTTTATCTTAACTATTGTTCACCGCTGTTTGAGAGGATACTTTCTGGAACGGAGGGTACAAATTAGTTAACATATCTAATAACCGTTAATCCTATTCAATTTACCAAGGTGCAGAAAAAAATTGGATCGACTTGTTATCACATGCATGTTTTAAGAGTCATTTTGACCTAATTCAGCACACACACACACACACACACCACTTTACAAAAGTAAACAGAGAGTAAAATTATTATTAATGCCTACGAATAATGGATCAGCTGATTATCGATTAACTCATGATGAGGTTTTTTGTTAAAAATAAGTGTCAATTGAATTCATGCAACAATTACAACAAACAATTAAAATTAGTTTAATAATTAAAAATACATAATTGTCATGTTCCTGTTAACCTTTAATAACAAAATCAGAATTAAATTGTTTCTTTGTTTCTAAATACAATTGTGTATTAATTATGTCATCATTATTACCAATCATTAATTGGAAGACTGAACAACAGGTGACAATAATTAGAAAGGTCAGTCGGTCAGTCAGTTACAACGTACAAATTCGTATGTACGTACCTTAGTTCATATTGCCATACCACATTAGCACACCAAGACGCAATTGTCAATTCAAACCCCATAGTGGTGGAGGTAGTACGAGTATTAGCAGTAATGGAGAAGATTAGGGTTCCAATTTAGAAAGAGGTGATGACGAATTCAAAAGATCGGAATTTCATAGAACAAAAAGAGTGGATGTACCTACGCCATTGCAAACGATTTTGAGCCACATGTCATTCAAAGTCTCTAACCATCGGGTTTCGATTGTCTGAGGACCCCCCCAAACCAGGTTGTCTACACTTACCAACATGACTCAGTCCACTTGTCAGTAACTTCATGGATTTCTGTCATGTTTTGATTTGGTCACCCCTGGATTTCTTACAACCTACTGCTACACCCCAAAACATAGCTCAACAAGGCAGTCGGTGACTGGGCATTCGTAACACATGTCCCAACAATCTCAACTGATAAATATCCACTAGTTCATCGATTGACCTGCCATCCTTACCTAGTATTCGTTTACTAACTGTAGCATTGCTTACTCGGTTGTTACAGGATATATGAGCAATGCTTCGGAGACATCTATGATCGAATACTAGTAACCTACGAACATCTTCTACTCTCACTGGCCATGTTTCAAAGCCAAAAAGTAGGATGGAGTGAACTGGTGCACAGTAGATTGATCCTAATTACAAAGGAGAGATGAAGAGAGAGTTGATTGAAAAATCCCAATCGGTGGCTTATATAATAATAATAATACCACCTTACAAGGGATAACAGGCGAAAGTACATAATTTGAAATCATCAATCAATCATTGTTAGACCACCATTAGAAACTTGGAAGCACTGAAAGACGGCTGTTTCTTCCTGGTATGGGACTCATCAGTGGCAGTGCGCATCCATGACTCCTGCACCTCGCAGGATTCGAACCCGGGACCTTCAATCTTGCTGATGAGTTTCATACCAGGACGAAACGGCCGTCGTTCAGTGCTTTCAGGTGGTCTAACAATGATTGATTGATGATTTCAAATGTGTAAAAACACAGAACTTCCAAAACTCTGCCCGAAAGTACATAAGTAATAAATATCGTAGTGTAGTGACCACTATCAGTCAGGTTGTTAATAATAATAATAATAGTATCATAAATAGAAAAAAAACAAACTCATTTAACTCACCTCTTTAGCAAGCATACGTAATTTGACAAAATTAATCAAACCATCTGATGTACACGAAGGATTGCCTAAATGAATAAATGTTAAATCTTTCAATACTAATGGTAAATAAGGTAACATTGGTGCAGACACATTATCAGCTGATAACAATGAACGATAATGATGAAAATTTCTAGATGTATCCAATACCATCTGTAAATTTCAAAAAAAAAAGAAAAAAGAGATAATCACAAATGATATGCGGCATCAGTAATGTGAAGTTTGGCAATAAAAAAAGCAAGTATTACATACTATATATAAACGATTGAGGTGTTCTGTGTAGATAGATTTGATTTAGATAGTCAATCAGTCAGTCAATTACAACGTAGAACTTCATACGTAAGTACATCAGTTCATGTTACCATACCACATTAACACAAAGACGCAATTGTCAATTTAAATCCCATAGTGTCATGTCATTCAAGGTCTCTAACCATCGGTGACTTTCGTCTCGGCGGACCCCAACCAGTTAGTCTACCTCTGCAAACATGACTCAGTCCACTTGTCAATGACTTCATGGATTTGTGCAATGTTTTGGTTTGGCCACACCTAGATTTCTTCCAACCTACTCCTATACTACAAAACAAAGGAAGTCGGTGGTCGGGCATTCGTAACACATGTCCCAACCACCTCAACCGATGAAGTTTCACTACTTCATCTATTGACCTGCTATCCTTACCTAGAACTCGTTTCTTAACGATAGCATTGCTTACTCGGTCGTCTCAGGATACACGAGCAATGCTTCGGATACACCTATGATCGAAGACTAGTGACCTACGAATGTCCTCTACTCTGAACGGCCATGTTTCTCATCCATAAAATAAGACGGAGCGAACTGCTTCACAATACACTCGACCTTTGGTTAGCGAACGGATATCTCGCCTTCGCCATAAGTGACCCAGTTTGGCAAAAGCCATTCGAACTTTCTGTATCCGAACTGAGATTCCGTCACAAACCAGGCCATCAACAATGATGAAACCATTTGAATCTTTCAAATAACATGGAATGCATGTTTCTATGTTCTTTCAACTGCTTTGTGTAATAGACAGTAAGCTGTTAATTTGATATGATGCTCAAACTTTTCAATTATAACAGTACAATTGCACTGCATTAGCTTGAACATTTCAATTGTAATGTTTTACTATATCACATAGGTCAGTTAGATAGTGATATATATCAAAAAGTCACTAGTTTTAACTGATATGTTATCATTTGAACTGTATTCAGTTAGTGGCGCGCGTCATAGGTGTTTATTTAAAGATAGCACATATCTTCAGCGATCATATGGATCGACGAATTTCTAGTGCCAATAGTTATGATTGGGGATAATTCTAGAAAAACATTTATTCACAAAATACTCATCTCTGTGATTGAGAATTCCAGAAATTATCATTTAGGCATTATAACTACTATATACTTCAACGTCAACTAGACAGTTGTTAATCAATCACATTTTCAAGATGAAATCAATAATTTTCCGACAATATTTATACATTACTTATTAATATCCTGAATAAATCGATCTTAGACTATCATTAAAAACCTGGAAGCACTGGAAGACAGCCGTTTCGTCCTGGTATAGGACCCATCGCACGCAAGACCGGAGATTCTAAAGTTCGAATCCTGCAGGAGTGTAGGACTCGTGGGTGCGCACTGCCACTGATGAGTAGTCCCAAATCAGGACAAGACGGCCATCTTCCAGTGCTTCCAAGTTTCTAATAGTCTTCTAACATTGATCGATTCATGATTTTTAATAAGTAAGTCGCCAATCTCCACAGCCCCATAATGGAATAGTGTTAAACATCAATCAAAAGCTTAAATAGTTCACCTCTTCAATCAGAAATAATGAAAGACAGTTGTTTGATCAAACTAATTTGTCTTAACTGCAGATTTTTAATAAGCATTAAAAAGAATGTTTTCCTTTCACGTAAACAACATCAACAACAACACCAATGGTAAAACAATTAATTCTATAATCCGATGTCAATCAATTCAAAATAATATTATTCATACATATTTGAAATCATCAGTCAATCAATCATTGTTAGACTATCATTAGAAACTTAGTGGCACTGGACGGCCGTTTCATCCTAGTATGGGACTACTCATCAGTGGCAGTGCGCATCCACGACTCCTTCACTCCGCAGGATTCGAACCCAGGACATTCGGTCTTACACGCGAAAGCCTAACCTCATAAAATATATACCGACTAATTAGTAGAAACGAATAGACATGGTTCAAATAAAACGATTTTGATCACACATATGTAGTTTTGTTAAAGTATATCGACTAATATAGAATTAGAAGTGGAAAAATTTGAAAAACAAACAATGAGTATACGAAAATATATCAAATATTGTTTCCTTCGAAGATAAACTAATATGCTCGTTAATTGAAAGGCTTGAAACTATCACGAGTTCACTTTAATCAGTAAACGAGAGCGAAGACAAATCACTCAGTGACACAATAGGCTACTCTAATCCGAGCGTCCCGAGGCCCCAATAAGTAGAGGAAGAAGTCTTGACAACACGTAGAAAGTGGATTCTACAAGCACCCAGAAAATATGAGACTGACAAACACACAAATCGAGTTTATTTATACATCAAAGAAACGTCCTTGGGAGAGCCACAAAAAATAGCGTACTAAAATAAAACATCAGTCAAGGATTTTCCGAGTAGGAAATATAACCTCAGGGTCAACTGGTCAGCCCATGCGCGAAAGTATGAAATCCAAAATTAGGACCTTTATGAAGGAAGTTCTGTGGATCTAACGTCCCCAACATAAGCAAAATCTTGTGCAAAAGTGTTAGGATATTCATCAAATATCCTAAGAGAATTATTGGTAAATTCCTATTGGTTAATTCCTACTGGTCAATTTTATGATCGTCCTACAAATCAATGTCATGTACTCCGATGTTGTTTCTTATTGGTCGTCTTAACTGTCAATCTCACAGACTTCGATGCTGTTTCCTATTCGACCGAAATGTATAAATACGCATTATCTGTAACGTACTATGACCAGGATCCGGTCACGGATCTCTAGTCCGGGATCCTCATTCTCTTCCGGACTCGGACCTCTTACTTTCTGGATGCTTGTAAAATACAGGTTCTACTTCATATCAAGTTTTCTTCTTTATATTCAATGGGGGTTAGGACAGTCGGATTAGAGTAGCCTGTCGTGTCGCCGGATTCCCGTTCTTGTATTCCGACTAAGGTAAACTCGTAATAGCATTCAAGCATATCAAAATGATGTGTTTACGTGCAGGCATAACAAAAAGTAGCATCATAATTCTTGTTGAATAATACAAAAAAATAATTAAGAAAATCAAAAACATTTGGATAATTTTTAGTTTGTTTTCACAATTCAATTTTAATGGGTCGGATACATGAGAGAAGAAAAGAAAAAGATACAAAGTGAACAGAATTGCAAGGCTCATAGGCGATCACACTATTGATGATTTTCAAGTGTGAAAGATGACTACATCTTAGATTGAATTCATTTAGACAATGATTGAAAATCAAGAAGCGTTGAACAGTTGTTGTTGTATTTTAGCGCATAGGTTTTCGCCGCAACGCACACTCACTCCTTTGTCTACATTGAAATCATGCGTCAAACATTGTTAGACTATCATCAACAGAAACCTAGTAGCATTAGGCAGCCGTTTCGTCCTGGTATGGAACTCATCAATGACAGTGCGTATCTACGACTCCTGCACCTTGTAGGATTCGAGCCCAGGAACTTCGGTCTCGCTCGCCAACGCTTAACCTTTAGAACACTGAGCTAGCATCATCCAAAAGTGTTAATATGATCAATCTACGGATCGAATTTAGAACTTTTTAAACTATGAAATAAGCTTTATTTGTAACCATGAATCGATCAACGTTAGACCACCATTAGAAACCTGGAAGCACTGGACAGCCGTTTCGTCCTGGTATGGGACTCATCAGCAGTGCGCGTCCAAGATGCCTGCACCCCGCAGGATTAGAACCCAGGACTTTCGGTATTGTGCGCGAACGCCCTAATCGTTAGACCACTGAGCCGGTATCTAACGGTGTTAATGTCTAACTTGATCGAATTCACGGAGTTGCGCAACCTCACACCCTGTACTGGTCACGACTTCCCACTAGAACTCAGAGAAGATTCCTCACCAAGCTAGTCACTAGTGGACACATGTAATTGCATTACGTGGTTGTTGTGAAGATTGTAAAGTTTTATTTGTAAGCGTGAACTGATCAAGTTAGACATTAACACCGTTAGACACCGGCTCAGTGGTCCAACGGTTAGGGCGTTCGCGCACAATACCGAAGGTCCTGGGTTCGAATCCTGCGGGCTGCAGGAGTCGTGGATGCACACTGCCACTGATGAGTCCCATACCAGGACGAAACGGTCGTCCAGTGCTTCCAGGTTTCTAATGGTGGTCTAACATTGATCGACTCATGGTTACAAATAAAACTTAACAATCTTCACAACAACCCCGCAATATAAAATAAGCGTTCAACCTTCAAACAATGAATTTTAGCCAATGATTGATATTTCTAACTTCCATGAGTTCCCAATATATATATATATATATATATATATATATATATATATATATATGTACAATCGATTCGTTAAATACGACTTCGTGATGACGTATGGCGTGATGATAATATCTATCTTCTCTATAACACTACTCCTAGTATCGATTAGAATTCAGAAAAAACAACACAAGTTTTCGCTGAAATTTATTTAGTACACGTATATAGGCAAACACATCCGCAGACAATGTTGATGCAGAATGCTGCACAACTATGTTGTTTGTTGTCTATGATGATGATAATGATGATTACATGTTACGTAAGAATCAGTCACAATAAAAAACAACAACAACAACAACAACAACTAGAGAATGTCCAGTAGAATTTAACACATAAACCTACACGAATAATTTAGTGCTGAAAACAAGGATGGTTCTTTAGTTAAATTAGTGTATATAAGTAAGTAAGTAATACTACTGATAACAGGTAATCAATCAATCGCTGTCAACTTGGGTATGCATATGATAACCATGCATATTGTGAAACTGTCTATTTGAATGAACCCCCCCCCTTTAAAATAAACAACATTAACACCAGTGTGAGTCGACACATAAAGTAAGAATAGTAGAGCAA